GAGAGATAGTCTTTTGGTAAAGACACAGAACACCGGGCCGGGTGCGGTGGCTCATGCCTGTAATCCTAGCTCTCTGGGAGGCCGAGGCGGGCGGATTGTTTGAGCTCAGGAGTTTGAAACCAGCCTGAGCAAGAGTGACCCCCCCCCCTCCCCCGTCTCTACTAAAAAAAAGAAAATAGAAATTAGCTGGACAACTTAAAATATATAGAAAAAATTAGCCGGGCATGGTGGCCCTGTAGTCCCAGCTACTTGGGAGGCTGAGGCAGGAGGATCGCCTGAGCCCAGGAGTTTGAGGTCAGTTTGTGAGCTAGGCTGACTCCACAGCACTCTAGCCCGGGCAACAGAGTGAGACTGTCTCAAAAAAAAAAAAAAAAAAAAGAACAACCTGGGGTATTTTGGTGGGATTTTTAAACTGGTGCAACTAACAGTATGACGGTGAAGAAGTTAAACATAATTACCATGTGATCCAGCAATTCCACCGCAGGGGTACATGTCCAAAACAGCTGTCAGCAGGGTCTCAGAGGGGTATCTGCACACTCAGGTTCCCAGCAGCATTATTCACAACAGCCCCACCAAAGTGGAAGCAACCCAAGTGTCTGTCGGTGGATGAATGGATAAACAGTGTGGTACATATATCCAGTGGAACATCACTCAGCCATGAAAAGGGACGAGCCTCCGACACAGGCCACAGCGTGGATGGACCTTGAGGACACCGTGCTCAGTAAGAGATGCCAGACACAGAAGGAAATCCTGTGCGATTCCACTCACAGGAGGTTCCTGGAGTCAGATCTACAGAGACAGGAAGTAGAGTGGTAGGTGCCAGGGGCTGGGGAGGGGCTGGGGAGTGAGTGTTTCACGGGGAACACACAGTGTCAATTTGGGAAGATGAGATAGTTCTGGAGATGGAGGGTGGTGATGGTTGCACAACAATGTGAGTATGTTTAATGCCACTGAACTGTGCACTTAAAAATGGTTAAGATGGTGGCTCATGCCTGTAATTCCAGTGCTTTGGGAGGATAAAGGTGGCAAGATCACTTGATGTCAGGAGTTCGAGACAAGCCTGGGCAACACGGCAAGACCCCATCTGTACAAAAATTTTTGTTAAATATTAGCTGGGCGTGGTGGCACCTGTAGTCCCAGTTACTCAGGAGGCTGAGGCAGGAAGATCACTTGAGCCCAGGAGCTGGAGGCTGCAGTGAGCTATGATGATGCCACTGCACTCCAGCCTGGGTAACAGAGCGAGACCCTGTCTCAAAAAGGGAAAAGAAAAGAAAATGGTTAAGATGGTAAATTTTACATTATGTGCAGATTTTTTTTACAACAATTATAAATAAATAAGTGACAGGGTGCAGTGATAGGAGGCAGGTGGGTTGGGCTGGGTCAGAGATGACTCTTCAGAGGATGTGACCGTGTCTCAAAGCCTTTCCCTCACCAGCAATGGAGCGGTAGACTCCTTGGCCTGGCTCCTGCCGATGCTTGCGAAATGAAACACTAATACCATTTATGGGATTGCTCCATCCATGTGAGCTGGTCTTGGTCATTCATTCAGCCGATATTTACTGAGCACCTAGTATGTGGCAGACAGTGCTAGAAACATCAGGGAGCAAAGCAGCGATACCCATCCTAGTGGAGGTGGTGTCGTACTCAGGGAGGCCGACAATGAAAATAGGAAATAAATAAATGAGGCAGCATGATACGAGGCACAAAGTGCCATGGGAAAGGAGACAGGAGAGAGGTTTGGCTGGGGGAAGGGCCAGTGTGGGTGGTTCTATGGAGAGGTGGGATTTGAGCAGTTTTTAAGAAGATAAAGAGAGAGCCAAGCAATCTTCTGGAGTAAGAGCATTACAGGCAGGAGGCACAGCCTGTGCAAAGGCCCTGGGGCAGGACCACAACTGGCCTGTTGGAGACACAGCAAGGAGGTCCATGTGGCTGGAGCAGAGTAAGCAAAGAGGAAACAGGGAGGAGGGGAGGACAGGGAGGAGACAGAATGGGTCACGCAGGGCCTGGTGAGCCTCAGGGAGGGCTTGGGCTTTTGACCACAATGAGGTGGAAGCTATGGAGGGCTGTGGGCAAAAAGGGACAGGCTGTGACTCAGGTGCTCACAGGTGTCCTCTGGTGGCTGCTGCGGGGAGGACAGGCTGTGGGGGGTGAGCAGGGAGCCAGGGACCAGGGCGGAGAGGACTGGCTCGTCCCGTGGGCGATGGGCGATGGTGGGGCTGGACCAGGTGGAGACCCTTGAAGTGGGAAGAGGTGTGGCCAGACTCTGGATATATTTTAAATGTTGAACCCAGGGAGCTTTTCAGATGGACTGAATGAGGGGGGTGAGACAAGGAGGGAAGTCCAGGACGACCCCAAGGAATTTGACCCCGCACCTGGAAAAAGGGAGCTGCCATCATCGCAGGAGGGGATGCGACAGGTGACGGGGCAGCCTGGGGGTGGGTGAGGGGTCCCAGAGGCTGCAAGAGAATGGTGCTGTTTCTGTTGCACGTACGGGGGATTAAAATCCGATGTGTGTCTGCGAAAGAGATCGAGGGGGCGAGGCTGCAAGTGTAGACCCCACATTGTAGTAATTTTGCCCCAAAGGGGCAGAAAAGCAGGCAGGAGCTGGAGGGGGGAGGGGTCGGGCATGAGTAGGCGCCAGCCGCGCAATACCAGGGGCGGCCACCGGGGGGTGGGCCACCGCCTTCCCTGCGGCGGAATCCCAGAGAGAGCAGGTGCGCGGGGAGAGTCTGCTCCCGCCCCCACACCCGCCCCCGCCCGCCTTCGGGCTCCGGACCCCGCTGGAATCTGTTTTCCTAGCAAGAGGTTCAGAGCTGTCGCCAGCTTCCCAATGCTCCAGGGGCGCGAAGCTCCCTCTCCAAGGAGCCCCTTTCCGCTCCAGCACTAGCCCCCACCTCCCAATCCCCACGGGGGGAGCTGGTATACAGTAGGCGCTCAATACACGAACGCCCCACCACTGGGCGGACACAGGAGCCTGGTGGGGCACGGCGGGTGGGGGACAGCCGGGGGACCCTGCTGGGAGGAGCCTGTCGCGCCCGCGAGCACCCCCAGAGGCGCGGGCTCCCCCAGCCCCCGCAGCGCCGGAAGGGGCCGCCCCCAGGCGGGCGCTGTCACCGAGCCTCGGTTGCCGGGTAACGGGGTGGGAAGCTGGGTTGGGGGCGCAGCTGCACCAGGCGTGGGCGCCACTGGGGCGCAGCGCGCGCTGCTGCAAGCAGCCCCCTTCCCGGGCCTTAGGGCTGGCGGGAACCCTGGATTCAGTATTCTGCTGCCTCAGTTCCCCCAGGAGTTGGATGGCCTTGGGGGCCACACTGGTAGGTGGGACGGAGGGACTCAGGGCCCACATGCAGGGGGCCCGTGATGGGAAAAACCACACTGACAGGGTGAAAGGTTTTAAAAAGGGCTCGTTTAATTAAATACAAGGATGAGGCCAGGCAGGGCGGGGGAGGGGTGCCACCCACATAAAGCACAAGTCCCACGGGGTCCTGCTCCCCTGCCGGGCCTCCGGAGCCACAGCCAAAGGCCTGGAAGCAGGCCCCAGGGACCACCAGCTCCTGGGCGGAGGAGGGGGTGCAGGTCTCTTCAGGAGCTGTGGAGCCTGCATTTCTACATACTCGTAGGCAGGCACCCGGCAGGGCTGGAGCCAGAGACACATCCAGAGGAAGACCAAAGAAAACGGGGCCCCAGCCCCCCACCCACCCCTAGACTAAGGCATCTCACTAACACTGCTGCCAGAGAGAGGAGTCCGAGGGCACAGGTGGAGTGGCCCTGCAGGGACACCCCAGGAGGCTGAGGGCCCAAGGCTGACCCGGGCAGACCCTCCGAGCCCAGCTCCAGAAGGGCCGGCCCTGCTTCCCTTCCCCAGGACCCGGGGGCCCCCCCAACCCTGGGTCCTACCAAACAGGGGCTGAGCCCAGGTGCCACCCACCCAATAGGGAGACAGGAAGATGCTCGAACAAAGAGGGGGTGCCAAAAACCGCCTGCAGCCAACAGTTGGGGGACAGGCCCTTCCCGGGTCTCAGGCAAGGAGCCTGGGTCCCCCCTTCCCACTGGAGGGTAGGGGGTCCTTAGTACCCGGTCCAAAAGGAACTGCAACCGACGCCACAGCAGGAAGACACCTGGGAGAACAGGGCATGTCACCCTCAAGAGACAACTCCCCACCCTCCCCCACACTCACACCCCCTGAGGATGATGGCCCACCCGCCGGGGCCCAGAAGAAAGGAATCGGTGCCTGAAAAAATATTCTACCCGGTCCAAAAAAACGAGCTATGCCAGGAGGCTGGGTAGCCAGGCCTCTGGCTTCCAATCCA